ATTTTGCTACTGATCTGTGGTCAACCATTTTAACTTTCATTCCTCTCTAGGGATGTCTAAAAAGGAATACATTTACATGCTTATACAATTGCGAAATAAATCAACTATGAAAAAAGGAACTAAGAGAATTGGTACTTTTATGACTTGTGTTTGCAGATAGGTTCCATTTTCCTCGTTGGGGAGATTGTAACTCTGTTAACTATGCATCGGCCTAAGGTGGCACGTGAACTGTGCGTGTGAATTTGACATGGGTATTTTGTGCAATTCGTTACAATAGTCTATAAAAATGATTCTATATATTGAAATCAGAAACCTTACCAAACACGAAAAACATCAGAAGCTGCTGACATAATGACTATTTTCTACTGCAGGCTGCTTAGGAAATAATTCCCATTTCCTTGCTTTGTAAGTTGATAATATCACTATGCATTTCTACACATTTTATAAATTTGATTTATGCAGATTTTGATACACTGTATGTTTCTGTAGAAATTGTATAAAGATTCAAAATTTTATTAGGGATAAATCTGAGAAGTTTATGTATATCTTAATTCTGGGTTGCTTGTTTTTTAGGTGAGAACAAATAAAATACTGTATTTTAATCCATGGATTTTTTTTCCTTAGTACTTGTGATCATTTCTGTATCTAAACATCACACATTTGCAATAATTACTTGATTTTATGGTTTATAAGATACACTAACATAATAGCTAAAATATCATAAACCATAGTTGTATGTTGAATGTGGGCTTGAATGTCAGAATTGTTTGGAATGTGCGTGTGACCCTTAACCCGTGTGATAGCACTTTTAAAAGTACTACGCACTATGAAAATGCATCTTATTCATTAGAATCAACCTGTTACAAAAAGGAAATGGACGGAAGTCAGAGTGATTTGAGGGGGACCACTTTCACGGGAATTAGAGATTAAAGGAAGGACTCTTTGTAAACTAAATTCAGTCATTGCTTTGCCAGTCTCACGTTTAAGATTTTGAAATGCCCGTAGTTGCGGTTGGTGGGTTTCAGTTTTGTAAGTGGGTCGGGCTGAGGGCCCACATCTGAGCAGAAGTGGGCTGGAGGGAGCCTTCATTTTCATAAGAGAGTTGC